CAATTAGTATAAAAATGTAGGGTTAAGTTTCATCGACAGTCAACTGCAAAAAGAAAAAAATCCAGGTAATAATAATTTTGCATGAGTTGCACGTCCTATAATTCAATAGGGTAATGTAATGTGAGCTACAAATTGGCCAAGTGATTTACAATTTGTATGGCAGGATTATTAGTTGGACATGGTTCAGAGGGCAATAACATATTTCTAGGAAGAGATATTTCCTGTTTCAATTTAAAGTAATTTTAGATTTATTTTGTATTTTCTTCGTGGTGGTTACGAGGTCAGTCAATTTGACCAACCCTGTATAGAGAATACATATGAAGGATAAAGTTTTGCACTTGGAGCAGTCAACACTTCCAGTCCATTTATTTATGGAGAAATGTTTAACAGAAATACTGATTTTTTTTGTCAACAAAATGTTTATTGAAAGTTCGTGAAGATACAGTATGGAAACTCTAAGGGTCAATTTGGGGTCACAAAGCTTGGCTGAATTGACTGAGCCCATAGTAAGAGAGTTAAAGGAAAATATTTGTAATAATAGTATCCAAGAACATTGGGGACATTCTATTTACCAGACATAATCAAAAGAAGACAAATGAATGATAATACGGGTGTCATGGGTGCATTAACCCCCCAGTGTCCCAACACCTACTGCCACCGTTGGAAGCCAGTTAGGTACGGAAGTCACCCTTAAAAAATTTTGTTGTTAATTTGAAAGGATATATATTATGTGATTGTTTCTTAGTTTTTCAAGAACATTAATTTCTTCATAATCTTGCCTGTAGAATGATGACTGATTGGAGATTTTCTCGAGGACAAGAAGAACAAACTAAAGCTTTTCTAGATGGATTCAATGAAGTTCTACCTCTGGAATGGTTGCACTATTTTGATGAACGTGAACTTGAGGTAGTAATTAACTCCTGCCCTAAAGACGTATGATATTTATAGTATTGTACGTGCCTAAAAGAAGAACCCGTAAAAGCTGCTTCATGGTTTTGTATTCGGCCTTATTTTAGATTACATATTCATTTTCTTATGACTCCTGATTGTGTTTTACTATATTGGTCAAGAGGTCTTGATTTTGACCAACTATGTAGTTCTTTTGTTTATTTGGTAAAAATCTGATTAATATCTGGACAGATTAGAAATTTAAATATTTACATTTCATGCTGAAAATATCTTATAAATGTATTATATACTTAAATGGTATCCTTTGAATAACTATTATTCTATAATTCACAAGCATAATGTGTTACAAATAGTAAACCGGGCATCTATTTTATGTAAACCTGCCTTGGAACATTCCATGCTTTGTTATGTGATAAGTGTTTAGTCTTCTCCAGTTTACACAATGAATTTGATTTCAGTTTTAAAGAGAGTAGAAACCGTTCAGTGGAGTTTTGTATGATTTCTATACTAATTTATACTACCCCGATTTCTTCGTTTATTAGTTATTCAGATACCGGTATGTATTTTTTTAGCTTATGCTGTGTGGCATGCAGGAAATAGACATAGAAGACTGGCACCGGAACACCATATATCGCCACTATACTCGCAATAGCAAACAAGTGATCTGGTTTTGGCAGTTTGTCAAGGAGATGGACAATGAGAAACGTTCCAGGCTGTTACAGTTTGTGACGGGAACATGTCGAGTACCCGTTGGTGGGTTTGCTGAACTAATGGGTAAGTGTGAACTTTATTGTTTAAAGTTAGAAAAGTCCGTTTTAAACTGGATCACCCTTACCGAGTTGAAAAGGCTACCTAAGTCGGTTCAGTCTG